TCCTCCGATAAACAAGGCCACTAATCAGAGTAAGAATAACACATGGACTTTAAAGTTCATCATCAATTCAAATTTGAGCCTAAACCAGTCAACATGGAATCTGACTGGGTTTAAACGTTTCTGTAGTATTTTTTTATGCGACATACTGACAAAGGAAACGCGTGCTCCAATGAAATATTCTACCTTTGGCTGCAATTAACGATCATTTTAACAGTTGTTTGTTTGGTCCTTCGAGGGAAAAAAACCAAGTCCGACATTTTGAACAGCTCATTTATTGGTGAAACTACAAATCAATCTAACGGCTGGCACTGTACGTCCAAAAACCACGTCGGACTCGGCGCAGAGAGATGGCGCTGGTCGGACCCGTCAATCTGGAAGAACTAATGCATGCGCAGTGCATGAGGTTAAGGTAAATTAAGGTAAATCGGCTTGTAGACGCTCGTAGCTCTGCTTCAACAGCAGGATTTGCTCACAAACACCTTACGATGGCCGACTGGATTTCATACGTGTTTTATTTTCTTCCGACATTACAACTCCTGATCTGGAGATGGCCGTAAGAGGCTAATCGGCCCTTGCAGGGCGCATGATGAGACTGAAACTCTGCCCCAACCAAAAAATAATAATTCTCGCACGACTGAATCGGCCCGAAAAGGGCAAAAATTCATACAATGTTTGCCCGGCTTTACACAGGAAAGTTTCTAAGTGAGTCGTATCCAGACGTCATTTGCCACCATGACAAATGACAGCAGCGCTCTGGTAACCACATCGCACTAATGTTTACTACGCACGATCTGCTGATCTAATCTTTCATTTGTCCCTCGTAAAGTCAGCCTTTATAGAACGGGAAAATAAAAGCATGTTGCAAAGAAATCAAGCAATAGTAATAAAGAAAAGCATCTTGAGATATTTATAATGTTGCTGGACATTCCTAACGCTTCAGTGTTTCTCATTTTTCCTTTGAGTTTGCATCCAGTAGTTGTGGATGCTTGTTTCTGCTTGTGTTTGTCTTCACTCCATTTACTCGTTTAATTCCTCAGCAAATAAAGCTCCTCCCCCAACATGCCTCCACCACCTCATAAACACATTTCTGCAAACCTTGTGTAGAACATTTTTCTGCACAAACTCTTTCCTCCTTCATAGCTGAGATGTCAGAGGAGACGTTTGGAACGGCCGGTTTTGGGTGCGTCCTTAATCGATCCAGTTTAAACTTGCTGGCACATGCATCAAAACTAAAAAGTAGAATTTTTCAGTTTAATCAGGTTAAATTCTGCTGCAGAGGAAATTCATGATGTTAAAGGAGAAATGCACGACGTGTTCAATCATCACACATTTTAAACATCCATCTGCTTTCCTCTCATATCTGAAAGTTTTATCCTAATTTGTTTTGCTATTTTTCCTCCTCTGCTTTCTGCTTAAAGTCCTCTTTTCCATTAGATCATAGCTGAGGTTTTATCCCATTAACAGCGATGCAGAAGCACGATGCCGTCTCTTTGCTGCACTTGCAGGCTCGGTCTTGTGCAGCTTCACAAACGCGGCTTCAGTAATGCTGTTAAACCTGTTTGTTGTGCAGTAATCATGAATCACTTTTGTTTGCAGGTGTGAAAGAACAGGCTTGGATATCCTTTACTAAGCTCTCTCATGTTTAGCATCAGTAACTTTAATGTGCTGTCTAATGGTTTGACTGCCTCTGCAGCTAACTGCACCATAGTGTGTGCACTGTTCTTGTTCTGCTGTGTAGAGTGACTCGTTGGTTCTGGAACCTGGTCTGCCCGTCAAACATTGAGTGTTTAGTGTAAGTTATGTAATATCTCTGGAAAGTTGAGGCCATTGTAGTAGCAGCTTGTCTGAATGAACTACAGAAAGCAGGACACAAGAACAACATATCTTTAAAACCACTGAGGTTTTTAAATGCTTTTGTTTTCTTGCCGCTTGATTTTTGCAGTTTGTACTTTTAACACCACTTCCTCCTTTTTAATCAGAAATGGAGATCAGTGCATTTTGTTTTTAGAAAAAAGCACTTGCCTGTTCTGTCCTCAGTTGATGCATGTGGTGCTTTGGGGGAATTTGTGCAGCAGGGGGTTTTGAAGTTATAGCATTCTTCAGTTTGCTCTGTTTACTTTTTATTTTACCAGGTACTTTCATACACTGAAAAAACTGATCCAAAAATCTCTTTAAAATTGTAACTGCCCTTAATTTGAGCAGGTTATGATGATCTGCCTAAACAATGATAATCAAATAAGTATTTGATAATTATTATTATTATTTTGATATAATAATATGGAGTTTATTTAAACATAAATAATCTTAATCTTTTGCCAAAGTGTCTTACTTGCTTAAATTAAGGAAAAATGAATTCATTTTAAAACAAATGGGGTAATTCCACAACCACCAAAAACAAACAACCTTAGCCCCGTAAGACTCCAGTGAATATCCAAGGACTTTGTCCTAATGTCTTAAGCCCCTCCCCCCTGTGCTTTTCTAGGTGTTTCTTAACTGATCTTGTTCCTCTTGCAACTGCAAGAAATGAGGAAAGTTCAATTTCCTGCAGGCCACAGAGGGTTGTGTAAAATAATACGGCCTGAGGTCTGCAGCTGTCTCTGCACGCATATCTAGAGTCATCCAGAGAGCGATGACTGACGCGCTGCATTTAACCCTGTGTTACTGTTGCAGGACTGCTTGGCGTCCAGTTCGGTTGTTGCTGAGAAACGAGTGTTTCCCCCTGTGGTCACCACAGCAGAGGTTGCTATTTGTGGCATTGTTGCTCGGCTGCTGAGTCCCAGCCTAAAAGTCTATTGTTTACATGACACCCACACTGCTGGACTAGTAGTCTGACGGATTTGGGTTAGATCTGATGTAAACGGTGATTGTGTCTTCTTGGAAGTGATGTGGCGTGGGTTTTAGTGTTGAGTGCTGCTGTTTTAACAGTAAATTGTTTAAAGTGGAAATCAGTAGGAACTTTTAATGATGCGACCCATATAAATGTCCAAAGATGTCTCTCTGTATGAAAAGGTACATATCCACTTGGCTTAAAGCATAAAACAGGTTGGATTTTTCTGATATTCAATATTTAATTAAGTTTTATATTTTCACACTTAAGAAGAAAGCACAAAAAACAACCTAAAATAGAGCGACGGACAGGAATGCATATATAAATTGGCAAACCATTTCAGTCCACAAAGTAATTCACACATTTATAACATTGTAGACGTATAAGAGTGAAGACTGCCCCAGTGTTTTGCCACAACCTAATTTCTGCTGTGCATCTTCTCACATGCCACTTTCTTAATCTTTGTCTCCACGTTTTAAGGTTTTCAGTCCGAGGTCTTTTCTGTGGCGTTAAAATTAAACAACCTTGGGTCACAAATCTAGTATCAAATAATATGAAATCTGTTTAATCAAACTGTGGCCCCTAACTTCTGTCCCCCAACAGGCACAGTCTTAGGCTACGTTCACACTGCAGCCTGAGGTGATCCAAATCCGATTTTTTTTTTTTTGCCCACATGCGACCTGGATCTGATCTTTTCATGGCTGTCTGAACAACACAGTTCCAATTTATTGCAATGCAACCCAGGCCACTTGGCTAGGTTGCCCTGAATCCGATACGAATCTGATCTTTTCACATGCGACCTGTGTCTGAACGGCCTGGTCGCATTCATCCAACCTGAACGCCATGAGAAGCCGACATAGGTCACTGTTCTGCGTCTTGCTACACAGAACCGCAAGAAAAACAAACACCGTGGCGGACGATGATGCGGAGAGCAGTAAATATGTTTAACCATCTTGAAAGGATTGAGTTTTTTAAAGTTGGGAAAGATCGCTAGATGCGCCCCAGCTCTACCATCCATGTTTACTTCCGTAAACACTGTGCACGCTGGCTTGTGACGTCTTTGCCTACTCTACTGCGCATGTGGGACACTTAAGCTGTATGACTGCTGTTCACACATGAGATCACCAACAAGTCGCATATATTTGGAAATGTATACGGCAACGCCAAAAAATCGGATTTCACAAAAAAAAAAAATTCGGAATTGAGCATCAAGGCCTGCAGTGTGAACATAGCCTAAGTCATTCAGGTGACTTAGCTTGATCAACCTCCCAGAAAAATACCCCCCGCCCACCAGTCCATTTAGGAGAGTAGTTACCCTTAGCTTCTTGATCTTTACCTGCATTAATTTGGTGAAGGCTAGAGAAAGACAGATGGTATCTCTTACGAATTTTTGGTGAATAAATTTCCTTTTCTCCTCCCTGATTTATAGCCCTTAGCCAGATAGACCAGGGTTCCTTTGTTAAGCTGATTTGCCACATCTTTATGGTTTAAATAAAAGAATCATAAAAAAAAAATGAAACTAAAGGTGCTTAGATTTAGTTTTTAAACCTGAAAATAAATTAAATGTGAACATTTTCCGTATCTGGGTAAATATTGGAAAAGGAAATGAGGGGGGAACCGATTTTTGATCTGGTCTCTGTCACCATCTGTACAAAAGTTTTTCATCCTTCCTTTACTTCTTGCTAACTCTTCTTTCCTTTTGAATTCATCCCTTCTTTTTTGACTTTTTTTATTGTTCTCCTTATCTTCCTTCCATTCTTATTTGCCTTCTGTCATATTTTATTGCTTCCTTCTGCTCTTGCTTCCTTTCCCATCGGCCTTGCTTCCTCGGCTTCCTTCCTTTCTTGTTAGTTTTCTTTCCTCCTTGTTGCTTCTTATGGCTTCCTCTCAGATTTAAGCTGAAGGGCCTGTCGTAATTTACAAAACAAATTCATGTTAAGCTGAAACCATAATGGTCAAAAAAAGGTTTAGGAACTCTGAACCAGGGAGTCTGGAAAAATGAGAAGTTGAGAGATGAGACTCTTTTTCCACATCTTGCTTTTATTGGCTTTACTTTGCATTCTGTTGTCAAACATTTTGTGCTGTAATGATGATGGAAAATCCCAAACTTTTAACAATTTAAGAGAGAAACTAAGGAATCTGTGGCCAATTTTTTGCTTCTCTCCTCCTGCAGGGCTCCAGAGATCATTTTGGGTCTGCCGTTTTGTGAGGCCATTGACATGTGGTCGCTTGGCTGCGTGATCGCCGAACTCTTCTTGGGCTGGCCCCTTTACCCTGGAGCACTGGAATATGACCAGGTAACAAGCTTTTTACACATAATGAAGGGAAGAAAGACTCCTACTGTCTTTATCGTTTGCTCAAGGTCTTTTTCTGTATGACTGGAGTTTAGCAAACTAAACAGAAAACCCATCTGCAGCTCAAACAGGCAAGAAAAATAGTACTTGCAATGTGTGATTATCTTCCCATGGAGGGGTAATGTGTGGTCTGAACTGCACAACTGGGACTGGAATCCCCAGGCAAGGAAGAGGGAGCATGGGAACCGGCCCCGGCTCCATTCACAGAGGAGAACTGCGTCGTCCTGTGTTTAGCCATGCACAGCTCAGGGGATTAGAGAGGGTTAATTAAAAAGTGTTATAAACAAACTTGGACACTCATAAATCTAGAAAATAAACAGTTTTGCAGTAAACAGAGGTGGGTAGAGTATCCAATATTTGCACTCAAGTAAGATAAGTCCACTCAAGATTAAGGCCACTAAAAGTTTAATGTTGTAAACAAGCAATGGTTTTAAAAGCATGTAGTAAAAAGGCTTCAAAAGTACAGAATAATGTTGGATCATAATGTCTAATTTATTATTTGAAAAGAATACAAACACACTTAATTTGCGAAATGTATTTTATTTTTCAAAGACTGAAAAATTACATGATCACTGGAAAAAATAAAAATCTCAAGTCATTTTTTTCTTAATAAAATAAATGCATTTGTTCTTAAAAGGTAAAAGAGATATTTTGCCAATGGTACAAGAATTGCATTGTCTTATTTCAAGGGCATTTTATATAAATATCTTATTTTAAGAGTAGAAATAGTAATTCCAATGACAAATTGTCCCATTTACCTACTGAAATTAAATACTAGCCTGGTAAACCAGACTAAATGTGAGATTAAATGTGTAATTTAGTCTGGCCCCGATGTCTGATGCATGGGACGTTTGTTGATTGTTGCTGCGCTTTTTTTTTTTTTTTGTCTGTTGTTTTTGGCTATTGGTCTGCGCTCTGAGCACTGTTCACTGTTTGGTGGTTTGTTCGTTGTTGTTTTTTGTGCTTTGTCGTGTGTCTTTTTGGTTTGTCGTTCCGCCCTCCGCCCGCTTTGCTTTTTGCATCTTCAAAATTCATCCCTGCTTTGTGCTTTGTGCTTGGGTTGTCGGTTCTTGGGGTCTTGTTTAAGGTTGGCCCCTTTGCGGGCCAAATTGTTTTTGGCGGTTGTTGGTTGGGGTTGTTTTCTTGGCTTGGTTAATTTTCTTTGTTTTATTATTTTTTTTAACTTATTTTTAGATTGTTTTTGCAGTGATGGTCAGAAGCCTGACGCATCTAGGATTAGCAATACTTTGAAGTACAGTCTATGAAAATAAATTTTAAAAATAAATTTTTTTTTTTTTTATATTTCTCCTTTACATGTATCGAGTTGGTACCCACATCTGGCAGTAACCCTACCATTGTGTGACAGATTGATATTAGTTTTGTTTTCTTAAGTTGGACTGGTCCTCAAACATGGTGGGCTTGAAAAGGTTTTACATTAACGGGCCGTGTCAGGACGCACACGAGCACATTGAGACCCCCCCTCCCTTAAAAAGCACGCCGTTGTAAGCCAAGGCCCGCTGCAGTTCCACTCTACACAGCAAAATGTATTTATAAACGGAGGGTAGACGGGCGCATATCCGTGCACACACACCGAGTTTGGTTCCCGTTCAGTGCCTCATCAGCAGGTTCTCAGTCCAGTGCTCTCTGGCTGCTCGGTGTGTTTGTTCTAGGCTGCAGACACGTGCATGCCCACTCACACTCACAGACAGATAGGGAAACCTCATTGCATCTATTCATAGCAGCAACGCACCGGTATCATGTTATTGTTGGGGGGGTTTATAAACTGATGAAATCCACAAAGGTTAATGAAGGCTGGAAGCTGCAGAAGCTTTCGTTTTCATGTTTGGGTTCAAGTACTGCTTTTAGAAAAGTTTTTTTAACAGCTATTCTAACGTTATGCCTGTTCTCAAACTGATGTGTTTTAATCTTCTGAACAGAATATTCAGCCTCATTTCCATCTTATCCATAACTTTCAGTCTTTGCCATGAGGGGACATGTTACAAAAGAACAAAGAGGCCATATTTGTCCAAAGGGTTTCATACCATATTAGTTAGGTGGTTAAAACATTATTGAGGATTTGGTATAAAATGAGCAAAAAAGGCAGAAAATATGACAATTTTTTGGGTAGGTATTGAATTTATTGCCTAGTGGATCTCTCAATAGATATTTTTTATTTTATTTATTACTTTTTTTTTTTTACATTTGTTGATAATTATAAATACAAAAAAGAAAAACACTAGAAAACCAAGCCTAGTAATTCACTTACTTTGACTCAGCTTTAGGTTATGAATCAATAATATTTAAGACTTCACCTATTGGTTATTTTAGAAATTCATGAATCTGTCATTTGTTTTTTTCATTTAATATAAAAAGATGCATTAAGTACTTAAAAATGAAAAGGAAAAAAGCTGTATGTTTGAAAAACTGTAAATCATATCTCAGTATCATGTTTACATTTGATCACTTCTGCACTTCAAGAAATAGAAAAATCTTGAGAGCTGTACTGATTGAAATTTGTTTTTTTTATATACACTATGTGTACAAAATAACAAAGTTTGTCGTAATTTAAGTAAGTTAATCTTTCTAAATAAACATTTGGAATACAGAAAAAACTTTATTGCACTTTTTTAAAGGAATTGCAGTGACAAAACGTAAAAAAAAAAATATGTAAGATACATTATCAATGGTTACAAATCGATTATGATTAAACAAGTACTGAATTAGTTAGATTAATCACAATTAATCCAATTAATTGTTTCCGCCATACGAATAACATAACTTAACAGTCAAATATGAGAGCATTTGACTAATAACTGCAGAAGGGATAGAAATGAGGAATTTCCCCATGTTCAGTCTATAAACGCATCAAGTCGTTTGATGCACTTTATTTTGAATTGACTGTAAATGCTGTTATCCGTTCTGATGTATAAATAGAGCAACCGTTTTGAACTGACTAACTTATGATGGTTATAAAATTACATCTTTTAAAAAAAACAGCAATAGATTTTATTCAGTTTTTTGGTTCATTCCAGTCATCAAACCTCAAAGGAAAATGGATCCATATTAGAGAGGAAAAGCTGCTGTTTTTCCTTCTTTCACTGAATTAAATATCAGAAAACATGCAGCCATCTAATGTGATGCTGAATTATTTCATTTATTTGTAAAAAAAAAAAAAAAAAAAGTAAAACAATCTATGATATTTAGGGTTATTTCTACCAAAGCTTCAATGATCTCAAACGTCCATCAGAGTTGACCAGGTTTGCTCTTTCAGATATGACCGTTTCCAGGGCTGCAATAATAGAAACAATAAGTGGAAGTAATCGGATTCACTGAATGAAATTCAGGTTATTAACTGAAGGGGTTCCGACATTTTCTACTCCCTTTCTCAGCATCTCCTGGTTTTCTTCCGTTTCCTTAGATCCGGTACATCTCCCAGACGCAGGGCCTGCCTGCAATGCAGCTGCTCAACAAGGGGACGAAGACCACACGTTTCTTCACCAAAGAGTCAGACTCTCCCTACGCCTCCTGGAGACTAAAAGTATGCAGCTCACATCATGCAAATACACACCATCACAACATTATGGGGATGTCATATTTTACACTTTATCTGGTTCTCGGTGGGTAAAGTGAGCTCTGGTTAATGAGTCATGGGGGAGAGTAAGAACTGAGGGGAAATAGCTGAGAATATTTTATGGAGATTCTTGGGTCTACCGGTAGGAAACAGCTGCTTGTCAAAACAGGACAGAGCCAGAACAGCCTGCGGAAAGCTCAGGGAAGCACAAAGCTGTGTTGAGACAATGTTCTGAGGTTCCTGTGTACAAAGTTTAGACGAAATTAAGCTTATCTTTTTCTCACCATAGAGAAAAAAACAAGTTTAAACCCTGTCATAAAGGAGATCGACATTCTGACAGCCTACCACTCTCTGATATTCTGACGGTTTTGACCTTCCCCTGCTTATCAGTCAAACTTATCCTAAAGCAGAATGTCTTTTAACACGTGAAGCTTTCCATGTGCTCGTAATCTTTACTCTACCATCCTAGGGTGTAAGAAAAAGTTTACAGGCGTAAGACAAACCAGCCAGCTTATCTTAGTAAAAGTCGTCACATGTGTGACCTCTGAGATCGTTGACCTTTATTTCCTGTTTGTTTTTGTTTTTTTCTACAGACGACAGAGGAGCACGAGAAAGAGACGGGACTTAAATCCAAAGAGGCCAGAAAGTACATATTCAGCTGTCTGGATGACATAGCACACGTAGGTCCAACAAGAATGGACCTGAAATGATCCAAACAAAAAACATCCATATATAAATCGAATATGTTGCCAGATGTTTCTTTGTGCTTTGACCGTAAAGTTTCCTGTCTTCATGCCTCAGGTGAACCTGGTGTTGAGTCCTGATACTAGCGACATGCAGGCAGAGAAGGCAGACCGGCGCGAGTTTGTCTCTCTCCTGAAGACCATGCTGCTGATCGATGCCGAGGACAGGACCGTCCCCTCCAGTGTCCTTAATCACCCCTTCCTCACCATGACTCATCTGTTGGACTACCCTCACAGCAACCAGTACGGCTGTTTATCTGCTACCACAGCCTATCATTTGTTTTCTTTCTTACCCCTAAACTTTTTCCTCTTTTCTTATCTAATAACAAACAAACCTAAATGTTGACATTGGGATTTTTTCTATGATTAAGCAGCTTTTGAGGGAAAAGGGACGTCATGAATTCAAAAGGAACATAAAGGAAGATAGATATTTAGAGGAGGATAAAGTTAACGATATGTTACGGTCTGAATGGAACTCACCCCTTGCTCACACTGGCTCCGGTGCAGTTACCGAGCCGACGGAGACCGCAACTCCCGCACACCCCCTCTCACACCGCCCTTTTGACTACGGTGCGGTGCGGCTCTGCGGCTCCGGCAACAGGTCCGGAGATTTAACAGAAGTTCACTTGAGTTCACGTAACTTCACGCGATAACACGGCCCAAACAAGGATATTTGTGAGAGCTTGTTGCGGAGGGCTCCGGCACGCCGCAAGGATAGCTTTCTTGCGGAATTTTCTGCAGCGCCGGAGTGTCTCGGTAACCGCAGCCGGACAGCTCAGCAGCCGGTGAGAGAGGTTTACGTCTTTTTAATGACTTGGAATCACTGCGGCGCCGCACCCATCGCACCACAACGGTAAGACCGGAGTCGGTGTGAGCCTGGGGTCAGAGCTCTGTTCAATATATTATTTACGGAAAAGTCCGGTCACCCAGGGATAATTAATGGATCATTATTTATACCTAAAACTAATATATTCGCAGTGGTTTAATAAATTAAGCATTAATCAGTAAAAAAATAAAATATTAATTTTCGTCATGGTGCGCAATTCTCCCCACTGTACAACCAAAATCAATGGGAACTAATAGGCACATCTGCAAACAACAATTATTTAAGATTTCCAGAGGAATTCACCACTGAAATTCACTAGAGCCATGGTTAAACTGACAATGCCCACGTGCATCGCAGCTGGATATTGTAAGGAGGATTTGCCATCGAACTTCTGGCCAGAGAAAAAACCCGTAATATGTAGCCAACATTTGGAAGAAGAATGTTTTCAAGATGACTTGGATAATAGCGCGTTGTGACAAACACCAGATACAGCACTGGGACTTATTCAACAGCCGATACCGCACCGTGACGTTACAAACCAGTAGGTGGCAGTAGTGTTCTTTAACAAACATGGATGCCTCCAGTAAAGCACGTTCAAATGAAAATTGCTCTTAATTTAAAGCACCTTTTTATTGAACAGTATGTAATCATTTCATATTTAAAGTACTATCAGAAGTTTATATTCTGAATATGAGCGGACTTCTTCTTTTTAAAAACGAGTGTAACTGTATGTAAACTGCATGTGAAAACCTGGAGGAGACAGAGCATCACACCGCACTTCTCAGATCTTTATTTTTAAAGACATATAAAAAACAGCTTTGTTTTTATTTCATATCTTTTATAAACTATATAGAATTAGAATAATTAAAGGAGTAGGACACGTTTCAGTCATGTAAGAGAGGATCCACCTCGAAGGCGAGCAGCATTCAAGACGGCGTTAGTGAATGTGCAATGAGCAGAAAGTGATCACATCGATTTATACACGTCGCTGCACATGGCAGAACATTCCTGAGGAACACATGTGGGAGGCAGAAAGTAAAGAACCTTGGGAGACCTTTTCTCACAGGAACCAGGCAGGAAAAACGACTATTTATCTTTAACCAAAGAGATAACAGTTCACACTCCTAATCTGTACCAGTGGCGTTGCATTTTGAATGAAGAGGAAGCTTCCAGGTTCATCTGGGCTACATCAAAGTCTGTTTTGACAAAATGAAAGATTTTGTTTATGGATGGGATTTTCTTATAACGCCACCCTTCTCTCTCAGTGTTCAATCATCGTTCCGCATCATGGACATGTGTCACACCCGGCCCAGCAGCGCCGTCTTTGATGCATTGAACCAGAACACCATTCATCTGCCCAGAGCCCCCTTAGCTCCAGCTGGGTCCTCTGGCCTTCCAATGAGCTACGGCAACATGCAGGTCCATACCCAGGTAGGAAGTGGCGGTTGTTTCAGACACATCATCTTCTGCATATAGTGTTGCTGTAGATTAAAGGCTTCATGGTTGGTTGTCATTAATTCTGCTTTTCTTTCTCTTAAACGTTTCCAATCCAGTCGATATCCCAGTCTGCCACATCCTTGTTGCATCCTGGGATAGCGCTAACAGGAAGCGGGCAGTTCGGGTGCAATGACTCCTTCCCGCCTGCCCTCCTCCTCTGTCCTCCCACAATGCAAGGTATGAAGATCCAGCTACATCCCTCCTATAATGATGGTTTATTGTTTTAAAATGTGATTCCACAGAAAAAGTTTAGAAATGTTGAATGTCTATATTCTTTCTGAAGGTAACCTTAATCAGCCGGCAACCTATCCTGTCCCCATGGTAACTCAGGCCCCTCCCATACAACCTCTACCTGTGAGGCCTGGAGTAATAGCTCAGGTAAGATGCAGACTCATTCAGACGGTGTTGAGAGCGTGTTTCCATTTTAATGTTCATGCATTCGATTCAAGAGACGGACCCTGATTGTCTTTATAGTTAATTTCTGATCACTGATCTGAAATCATCAGTTATATCACTGATAGTAGAGATGAACTGAATAGATAACCCATTTTAAAGTTTTTTTAGAATGAATTAGTTTATTGATTTTTCTGGACTGTGACGATAAACATTGCTTTAATGGGACCAGAATTAACCAATAAGCCATGTCTCATCTGATTTCTTTGGAAACATGAACATTTTAAATCAAAGTAGAGCCCAGTAAGAAAAGTGTAGAAACCGTAACTTTAACGGCACTCTGTTGCTTTTAAAAGAAAGGCTAACTTAATCTGAGATTGGATGTATTAAATGGTTGTTCAGGTCAATATGCAGGACTTGGTGCGTATCGATTCTCCATGTGGACCTCTATTCTCAGAACTCGCTAAAGCCAGGCTTACACTGTGCGATTTTTTTTTTTTTGCCCTTTTCAGGCCGACTTTCTAGCTGTACGAGAATTTTTCGATCGGGCCGACTTTCAGCCTGATGGTGCGTCGTGTACACGGGGTAACGAGGGGCGATCAGCCTCTCACGACCACCTCTGGATCAGGAGTTGTGAGGCTGGGAGAAAATCAAACATGTTTGATATAGTCGGACGCACAGTGGACAAACAATGAATCTTCTTCTTCTTCCTCTCAGATGTAAACACAGAAGCATGGCGGGGGTGTGAGTGAAAAGGAGTTCTTTCTGTTAAATTGACAGACCGCAGTAGCGACGTTTGCTCAGCCATGTCTTTGTCCAAATACCTTGTTGCCTTTTCTATTTAGGGCTTTCAGCACAAAATTGCACAAATTGCCAAGGCAGCGCGTTTCACTCTAGTGGCTTCCGGAGAGACAAGTCCGAGTAGCACCATCTCACTGTGGAACTGAGTCCGACGTAGTTTTTAGATGTACAGTGTGAGCAGGTAGATCGCATCAGAGTGTCGGGTTGCACTGTGTGGGAACATACACCGTGTAAACAGCTGTTAACTTTCAAACACTGCAGATTCGTCAAACAGTGACTTGTATCTGCGTGCAACGATCGAAAAAAATGCCTGGCTGTATCTCAGATCTTCTTAAACACCAGAGCTAACTTAGCTCAAAGTTGTTAGCCACCAAAACAGATCTGACTGTTAGCTGATGAGACATACTCTGGTTGTCTGATATGGGATTTAATCTAGAGGGTGAATGTTTCCTAGTCTTTATCAGGGACTCTGTGGTCTGCTGTTTGAACCAGAACCATGGAGGGAGATGGTTTGATTGTCGAGCACAGTGCGGTGGTGCCAGTCGCTTTCAGCAGCACTAACCCTAGAAGTTGCAGGTGTAGCCCCATAGTGGCTAACAGTTGCAGTGTTGCTTTAATGCATTTTAAATTGTTTTTTTTTTCTTATTTCTTGCAGCAGGCCTGGTCTGGCCGAGGCCAGCAGCTGCTGGTGCCAGCAGCGTGGCAGCAGATGACTCCTGTGGGGCCCCCACCCTCTCACCCACCTCAACCGCCCCCTCCTGCCCTTACCGGTGACACCACGGCTGGACCACAAAGGATAGGTGACTGGGGGTGAGTCTTAGTCATTCCAAACGTTTGGGAAAGTGTACACCTGTAAAACTTGGACTCAATGGAAATATGTTGTAATTTTAACTTTATTATTTAAAAATCAGATTTTAATTATTTTGCTTACTCAAATTAAGACTTTATTTACTTATTCAGTGCATTTGTGTAAAACTTCTTTATTTTTTTAATTTCAGAAAAGCGCGCCCACACAACAGCCACTACAGCGCAGTGATGCAGCAGCCTCTCCTGACCAATCAGATGCCAGCCCTTTCTGCACATCAGCCAATCAACATCGGCATAGCTCATGTTGTGTGGCCGCAACCAGCCAATAAACGGAACAGACAAGGGCACAACCGGTGAGCTTCTGCCTCCTATATTTAAACTGCTCCAACATCTGGTTTGATCTGACCTTTTGATCGTTTTCCATGAAAGGAACCTGTCCCACCCTAGCAACGTTCAGGTATCAGCATGTCGGTCTCCCAAAATGGCCGACGTCGTCGGGCATGCAGTGGCAGGAAGAGGGCAGCCGCAGAGGGAGGCGCCCCTGGTGGAATCCCGACGACCAGATATCCAAAAAACAAATGTGGAAAAAGATGGCCCAGAGCTGAAAGAAAACTGCTTTAAAGAGACAACGGCAAGTGGAAACAGACAGTTAGACGCGTCCAGGCAGCCGCAACGCGACGTGGCGGTCCTGATGGCCGACACGCCGAGTCCGGCTCCCAGCGTGATCAGCATCCGTAGCGATCTGAGTGAAGAAGAGGACCAGGTGGGAAACGAAGGCGGTCAGGGATGCCATCTGAATCAGTGAGTAAAGATAAAACAGCTGCTGTGACATTGCCGTGGTGACAGTTGATCCTCTGCATTGATGTAAAATAAATCTACTAAATCACCGACAGATGTAAAGGAAAATGTGGATGTGAGGCTTGCAGAAACACCAGTGTGTCGATGGAGAGGGTGTGTTCCCTCAGCAGCCCTGACAGCAGCCTCAGCACCAGTTCCTTCGCCTCCAACTCTCTGCAGTCCAGCCCTTCCGTCTCACCGTGCAAAAGGCCAAACAGGTAGCCCCCTGACGCAAACAAAGAGCTGCCCGTCTGTTCCCATCAGCGCAGATGAGGCGCAGAGGGTCACCTTTAGCTTTAGCACCATTTTGTTTGACATTTTCTGTACTGTGCATGAAACAAGCTGCAGGGATTTTAGATGAGCTGTGTGAACTTTGTGGTCTTATCAATATGCTCTTTCTTTTTTAAATAAGTAGCAATGTAAATGACATGAATAATCCCAAACTAAGTCCTATCAATTTTTACCTTTAAGAATAAATAGCAGCGCCTTTTAGTGGATGAAGGCAACATTAAAACAATGACAGAAATAACTTTATAGTGAATGTTATCAATTAATTTAATCAAACATATTTTAATCTAATCTACAAAAAATGGACAGTTCGTTTTAAGCAAAATGTTTATTCACATCCCCACAGATTAGCCCTACCATCAACCTTGCTTTTAGTTTGGCTCTTAGGTTCAGGGCTAAATTCTTTTCTCTGCCTACATCCCCCAGAATGCCATGTGGTTCTAGATGGAGTTCAGTGGAATTATTGAACATTTTATAATGTATTTTCTTCTTCTATTGATCAGTTTTATTCATAGGCTAAAGAATTTAATCTAGTATTGTTCAAATTTTAAGAAAAGACTGATAATATTCTGTTTCTCAGTCAAAAATTCAACATTTCATATCACTTCCTCGTTTACAAAGTTTGCTAATCCACCTTATTGTGACTCTAGGAAGAATTAATGTTCACAATTCTTCAGTAATATGGTTGTCATATTCTAACAGTTTATTTTATTGTTGGGAGGCATCAAAGATCCGTCGATCCACAGCCTGCATTGTCAGTCGGTGTAGCTGCTGTGAAACGCATAATTTATTTATTTTAAGACACTTGTAATCCAGTGGATGTTATTAGTTTGAGTTTTGGTAAAATGTTAAAATCAACCTAGAACAAATGGATCCACATGACTAGCTGGAATCGTTGCGCACAAACTCTTGGTGAGATGACATCTAAAAGAAAGAAAGATTAAGCCGTCCTGGTTTCACTTCAGTTCTGGGTCATTGATCATCCTCTCTTCTCTGCTGCTCCTCTTGTTGATCTAATGAGAAAAGGATTCCAGGGCTGCATAACCTTAAAAAAAAAGATGACCATGAAATGTTGTTTTATAATTATTCAGAAGAACCCATCTGAGCACCCAGTAGCTGGTTAAATGTATTAATGGCCTCCTCCAACCTTTTTGTTCAGCATGTCTGAGGATGACGGCCATGAAAGCGGCTGTGACACGGTGGAAGGCTCGCCCTCATCGGACACGTCAACATCCCAGCACAGCAACAGCGCCTACCGTTACCTTGACAACAACCGCTCTCCTTTAGCTGCCGTGTTGGCTCCGCTAACCCCCCCCTGTGAGCAGGACCGGAGCCCCAGAGGCATCAGGACCATGATAGTTCCACCGATGAGGGTGCAGACCAACAGCAGAACCCACAAGCTGCAGGAGCGAGTCCAGAGAACAGGTCAGAGGGAAATAGATCTTTTTTTTTTTTTTTTTTATTCGCTAATTGTGAAAAATTGTGCATTAATCCACCAAGAAACATGTTTTCTTTTTAACCACAAACGTTTCTTCATCTACCACCTGCCATGCGGTGTCAACTGTGCTTTGGCTGCATCTGCTTTGTAGGTCAAATGGAAGAAGTAGGGCCTTACAGCCCCCTAGTGGGTCGTAGCGGCCATAACAGGTGATCCAGAGACACCAGCAGAGATTTTATTCAGCTGTAGCCTTTACTCCTCATAGATGCATCTATAATAAGCAAGCTGCTGGCTTTGCTTATCTCTAATAACTTTCCTTTTAGTATATCAAGCTCTGATCAGAAAAAGACTAAGAGTTTTTGGGAACCTTAAGTCACTATTTCTCCTTTTAAGTTTCTCTGTTCTTCTAAGATAAAGAGGAGAAGAGGAAGAGCTTGTTCTGAGATCATGAATCATTTCTCAACATTTATGTTCCTATAGAGGGAACAATGGATGCATTTTATCTGGAGAGAGGCCATGCTGTTTTTAATTTAATTTTCTCTGCTGGTTCTCGCTTTACAACAGCAAAAGTTGCCCAAGGTCACCGATGAGAGATCAGTTTCCAACTTTCTGTCCTCCGTGATTGTTGGTTAAAATCCTGATGGTTTGAAACTGATGCACATCGGCGTCTGTGGGGTCATTTGTTTTTCACTTCATTTTCTGAGTGCCTGGAATTTCTTCTTCCTTCAGGTTCTCTTTTTCTTTTCATTTACTTTTGCAATGCTGTGTTTCTGTTTTAAATCCTTCAGTGATAAAACCTGAAGTCAGATATCAGGACTAAATTCACTTTGACAAGTTTTCCCGTCGAGGGCATTTTCATTTAAAGAGCAGCCTTTGCTTTTTTTTTTTTTATAATTTTTAAAGTCTTTAGTGTTTTTTTTTTTTATTCTTTGAGTTCATTTTTTAAAATAACTAATAATAATACGAAATGAATTGTAATTTATATCTCTAAACGTCCTACAATAACTGCATATAATCCTGTTGTATGATTCTGTCAATACAACATAAAAAAAATAAGATTTTTTTTTTAGTCATCCATTTTTTGGGAGTTTAAGCATAAAAATTTTAAATGTATAATTTATGAGAAAAATCAATATTCTCAACAACTGAAACTGGAATAATTATGAAGTTTTCCTAAATTATTTATCAAGTGCATCTACCCCATACTGATTTGGTTTATGTAACTTTATTGGTTTATCAAAATACAAATTCTTGCGTGATTTTAAAAAAATCAACATTGGGAAAATTGATCAAGAAAGATTTTCAGATTCCGATATCTGGTTGATTGATTGATTGCGTCTTTTTTCTTTACCTTTTTAGCTTGTTTTGTTGTTTTTTTTCAATTTTAGAGTTTACTTGATTAACTTCCTCCTGCTCTTCTTTCTTCAGTCTCAGAATCCTGGTCCCGATCCAAAGGGCGCTGCAGCCTGCTAGGACAGCAGAGTACTGCCTCCTCCGTCCCCCTCCTGCCATCCGCCCCCATCCTGACGCGGCAGCAGAACCACCTGGTCTTTGGTCAGGTTAGTTCAGTGATTACTGACCCTTTCCGAGTTTTAACTGTTGTGGAATAATTGCTGTTTAAAGGTGGGAATGGTAAAATTAGGAAAGGCAGGAGAATTCTTAAGTGACGAAAACGTTTTTGCTGAAACCACTGAATGTTGCCTTCGCACATGCACAGTTCAAGTAATTATACCATCCAGGGTGTCCCACCTGTGACACCCTGGATGACCCCTCTGAGGCTATATATGCTGCCGTCATCTAGGGCTCTGTTCCTACAGAATCTTCTTGCGGAAGCAAGTATTCAGACTGACAGAGAATCTCCGGCGGTTTCTCAGGCCCCTTCTCAGTGGAACCAGACTGAAATCGGACCTGAACAGCGGGCTGCAATGCGAATGGGGCAACACATTGGGGACAAATGCAGTGTTTAGCCACAAGCTAACACCAGAACCATTTGGATCCCATCAGAGACATGAGGGATCCATAGAAAGGACATGCGGCTCACCAACCCTGTTACCTGAAACAATGGCTAACACAGAGGCTTTAGCACCATTTTGTTTGACATTTTCTGTACTGTGCATGAAACAAGCTGCAGGGATTTTAGATGAGCTGTGTGAACTTTGTGGTCTTATCAATATGCTCTTTCTTTTTTAAATAAGTAGCAATGTAAATGACATGAATAATCCCAAACTAAGTCCTATCAATTTTTACCTTTAAGAATAAATAGCAGCGCCTTTTAGTGGATGAAGGCAACATTAAAACAATGACAGAAATACCTTTATAGTGAATGTTATCAATTAATTTAATCAAACATATTTTAATCTAATTTAAAGAATTGACATGGCAACACATTGGGATCAAACTTAGTGTTTAGCCACAAGCTAACACCAGAACCATTTGGATCCCATCAGAGACATGAGGGATCGATAGAAAGGGCATGCAGCTCTACAACCCTGTTACCTGAAACAATGGCTAACAAAAAGGCAGCCTTATGAAACCCACTCAGGGGCTCTAAAGGGGAACAGCACAAAGCTTTGACCAAAAGAAGATCCCAATCAGGCACTCAAGGAGCAAGAAAGACCAGACTATGGTCCCCACCGGACGGTCAATAATAGAATCCTAATAACTTGAGATTGCTGTTGCGTACAATGTGTTAGCGACGATGGATACCGAAAATAGGTACTTAAGTGGATTCCAGAAGAGAAAAAGGAAAGAAGAGCTGCTGGAGCTGTTGGTGGAGGGGGGGTGTATCTTGGCTGATTTATTAAACTGGCACCGTATCCTGAACCTTTATCAGGTGTTGTACTTCATATGGGACCCACCCACATAATGTTGCCTATTGGTGTGTCATTACGCCATTGGTCAGTAGGGATCAAATTGAACTAGAAGTCACTAAGAGCTACGTCTCACATTTTGTACAATCTAAACTCCAGGAAACGAATCTAAATTGACTTTTGGTCCTGAAGTTTGGATTGCTACCAAAGTCCAACAACAAGGAAGATAGGAAAATAATGTTTTGAACATTTGTTAAGAAGCATACAACACAGGAAAAATAGAAATCTAGATAAGTCATTTTTTTTTCTTAAAATAAGTGCATTTGTTCTTGAATTGAGGAGGTAACAGACATTTTGCCAATGGAACAAGAAATTTACATTTAAAATAAAAAAAAAACACAATTGCATTGTCTTATTTCAAGTGGATATTATCGAATTATCTTATTTGAAGAGTAGAAATAGTCATTCCATTGGCCAATTATCTCATTTACCTACTCAAATTAAGGGTCGAGTTAATACACTTAACGTAAGGATTGTTTTTCTCTGTGAACTTTGATTGTTGGGCTACTCTATAATGCTTGGAACTCAACGCTAATTCAGCCATTTTGAATTGAAAAAGCTTCCTGGAATGGAAGCGAAGCGTCTTTAAACTTGAGAAAATAAACTCCGGTTGTTTGTTTTTTAACTTTTCTGAAACTTTTTTTGATCCTGTCGTGTTTTTCGCCTGAAAGTTTCTCACCTGCTTCGTGTTTCTGTTGCAGCCATTCGCCTCCAACCTCGGCAGCAAAGAGTGGAACGGAAACTACGCGCCGCTGCGGCCGCACGCCTACATCCCCCCCACTGTCCACACACACACCTTCACACACCTGCACCACAGCAGCCCCACGCACACCTCCACCGCCCCCCACACCCTGCTCTCCTACCCCTCCAGCGGGCCCCTCGCCGCCGCCCATCACCCCATCCTGCCCTCTCGCCCTCCCCCTCTCCTCCAGCATGGCTTTGGGCTCTCTCACCCCCAAGGCGGAGCGCTGCTCCACCAGGTCACCCTGGGCATCAGCGCACACCCCCACCACCCCGCCGCCACGCACCGGCTCCTTCCCTCCCCGACTGTAAACCCCCACCATCAACCCAGCTACACCCACCACCCCCACCAGTTCAAGCCGCCCTTTCCTGCCCCGCCCCCACCTCACCCATACTTGGCCTCCCCCGCCGCCTTCACAGGCTTCCACCTGAGCCCCACCAAGCTCAGCCACCACCCCCAGTTCTCCTACATCTGAGGAGCGGCACGGAGGAGCGGCGCCTCCTGCTGACCAGGAGGCTGAAGGAGAAATGGGGCGGGGCTGCAACCTGGGCAGGGAGACCCCCCCCCAGCAGAGCACAACACGAACACTTCTGTTGAGGAAGAGGAGTGTTTTTATTACCTGGATGAATTAAAGAAGTGATTTAAAGAACGTTTTCTGTAATTGACGGGTTTGTCTCTTCAAGCAGAGACTTCCTGTTGGGAGACTTTCCTCTAAACGCGTCTGTTCGTTACCTCCTGTCAACGATCCGATCTTAATAAAGGCTGGAAATGATTTTTTTTTCCCTTGTTGGTTGGTTGGGGTCGTTCAGCCTCCGTTCCCTTTATCTGTGTTGCCTTGCAGCTCGGATCTGCTGGTTCGGCAGCGCAAACCCGGATCCAAGTCTCCTGTTAGTGTGACCAGTTCCTACTAGTGCCTTAACCTTCTTCTCCAGTCTTTGTCACTTCAGGACGGTTTAGATTGTAGGTTTGAATTGAAATGGGCTTGCAGCACTTAACCTCCAGGCTCTGAACAGCGGATGAGGATCAGATGTTGGGCTTGTTTTACTTTCCGCTTTTTAACTCGGCGTGGGTTTAATCGGACTAGAGGCTGCACATACAGGGCTCTGACTGAATTAGCTTTTAATGTACATAAAGAGTGATTTGATATTTTGATAATCGATTTCTATTCACTATAGTACTTAATTCATAACAGTATTGTCACTGTTTACTGTAACTGCAATACAATCTAGATCCTCTGGGTTGCTGTGTTTTTATTATCTTGCATTTAGGCTTGATTTGCATCCATGCGTTTTAGTTTTTGGGAGTGGCGTGAACTTTAAATGTTTTTAGCTTCTACCATTCTTCTCAGTGTTGGAAGTAACCTATCGATTTAACAGTATCACTGCTGGGCTTTGGAGTATTAGTCGTATCAGTAATTATTGTCGACGGAGCTTTTATCCCCCTCTCCCCCCCGCGAGTGTCGAAACCCGTCGTCGGTTTTCATACATTCCTTCAGGGTGGAAGCGAAGCCGTGATTATTATTATTATTTTTGTTTTGTGTGCGTTTTTTTTTCCCGGTGTGTCGTTATCTTTAGCCGGCGTTTCACTCCAATCAACACCAAAGACTTTTCTCGTTAATCATTTCGGAAGCACGGTCGATCATATTTCTGTCACCTCCGGTGTATATCGTTGCAGTCGTGGATTTAATATTTTCTGGAATATATTGTAAAATCTCTATTTTAAAGATGATTAGAGGTTGAGGTTTTATTTTTCTGAGCTGTTTGCTAATTGTATTTGGAATGTATAGATAATAAGCTGCTATGTACTGATTATCCGCCACTTGGTAGCTGTGAATTTAGAGGATTAATCTCTTTCTGGCCTGCAGTCTCTGCTTAGTGTTGTAGTTTGGACAGCTAGATGAAGCATCCGTGGATCTTCTTCTGATCATAGAGTGTATTGAATGCTACTCCTTTATGCTAGTGCCTCTGTATATTGACTTTGTTGTTTTTGAAGTGTTTGTAAACTGCTGTATTGGAAGTTCAGTTTTCCTTTTTTTTATTATTCTGTTTCTTTTGGGTGTGTGTGTGTATTTAGCGTCAGTATTTCAAACGTAGGCTGGGTTCGCTCTTCGATTCTGTAACCGTTGTGATGTATTACCGTCTTTCCTTTCCACGCGCGGCTTTTTATTTCCGTTATAGGACTGTATTTTGCAACTCTCCGTACTGTATAACGTAGTGCCTTTTCCTCCGCCGGTGGCCGATGGACGATGTGTGCGATATCAAAGCGGTCGGTCAGATGTAGGCTGAGCTCCTTTCTGGGGTCGGATCCTGTATTCGCGTGATGAAACCCCCCCAAAGTTTTGTTCACAAGACGAAGGTGAAAACAATCTTGCGTTCGATTTTATTTAACATTTTTACAGAATCCTAAGAAAATCCTAAATCAGGGAATGTTTTACTCACCAAGAACACCGTGCAGCACTAAAATCCATGGGGCCTGAGTGACGTTCACAAATGCAAAGCTTTATCTCTCATTGTGAATGTATCTGTGGAAGTCAAGAAATCAATATTTGGTTTGAAAGTAAAGTGTTTTTCAGAGTTTTGGGTGTTGATAGTACTTGTATGCAGCTATTACCATTGGTAGACATTGTTTTGTAAGGGGTCTGTTTTTTTTTTTCCTTTTTTTTTAATGCTTTATCCATCTCTCATAATCAAAGTTTAGGTCCAAAGGTTTCCCTCCCTGATCTCATTATTACAGAACAGTGGAATGGTTTTATGTTTTTAGGTATTTGGGTGTATTTTTTTGTTTGCTATTCTACTGTTTGCTCATGTTTAAGGTTTAGTGTTTGTGCTCACCCAATGGTTTCTGGTTTATTATTTTGTGGTGTGCATCCCTGCCACCCCCTGGGGACTGGTGGCGCCCCATGCTGTAATCCCAGCCGCCACCACTTTGGACTGATTGCTTTGGGCGGGTAAATCCCCAGCACATGGAGCCCTGTAGCCTTTAGCATCACAACAGGCCTAAAAACGTTTAAATCTAAAGTTAATGCTTCTAAAAGCTTGTGGTGAGCTTTTTTTTTTTATCAGGTGATGCAATCCACAGCACCCTGATCACTGGGAACCAACATGAAATAAAAAACCTCATATCAATCAACATGTTCATGCTGCAGAATATGTAGATGAACTTCTGCTTAATTTGAATCCATATGAAATTAAACTTGATTAATCATGTTTAGGCACAAACATGTCGACACAATTGCAAAATTGAAGCTGTTACTGTTGGAAATGTGTGTAAAATTTTGTGGCTTTATGATTTTTATTCCTTGATTTTTTGTTTGTTAATCCTAAATGCTACTCTAGTGTGACTTGTAGCCACTGCACTGTGCAATATACAACCATATATGAGGACTGGGAAAATAATTGTTTGGATGTATTGATGTGTGTCTTAACAGTTTGCGGTCACCCCCCCTCCCTCCCTCTCTAGTTCTCAGTGAGTTTCAATGTGACCAAGCCTTATGTACTTTGTCACAAAAAGCGGGTTCCTTCTTGGTGACTCTTATTGGTGAGTGTCAAATTATGAATTTATTGTATAATATGTTGAGATTCACTTTGAATTAAAAAAAAATCTTTTGCTTCAGTGACTGTTGTTTTTTTGGGTAATTTCTTCATTGTAAAGCATTGAAAAAGCACAGATTAATGGCATCAATAGCTCAGTTTGAACCAGGAGTACTTTCTATTGTAAAAGAACTTTAAAAAGAAGCGGAAAATTCAAAAACAAAAAAACTCCAACAATTTATAAAGGCTGGAGCAGGAGCACGTCTCTACAGCTCTGTCCCTAATGTTTATTTCTTAACCCTTTATAGGGCAAATGATCGTTTTTGATCACCTGCATACCTCTTACAGGTGGAATCCCACTCCGTCCCTCACTGAGGTCTAGAAGTGAAAGATCTATATCCAGCCATTCAGCAAACATACTGCTACATGGCTGTACGTGTTATTTTTGGCATTTGACCAATTAGATGAGACCTTGAATAACATACTACCTACCATAAATTACCTTGAGAAAAAGTTTAAGTTGAGCTTAAGTTAAAGTTTTAAAAAACAAAATGAAAATGTTAAAAAGCCAAGTTAAAATGTACGCTCTAAGGTTATGCTGTAAAAAAAAAAAAAAAATTTTTATTTCGCTCTGTATTTTTCATTGATTTCTTATAGAATAACTTTTATTTTTCTTAATATTTTAGGGTAAGTTGGACTTTCTTATTACATTGACCTTAATGTTTGCCATCAAAATATACATATTTTTTAAATGTTACAATACTAATTAAGGTTCTCCAATAGTACTATTAGCCTGAAATTTTGATTTCCAAAGTATATTGCCCTATAAACGGTTAAAGGCTGCCAAGTAACTGTTAGATTTCTCCCTGATTTAACTCTCCTGATTTAAATGGATTATCGATCTCTTCTGAGGTAACTAAGTATTAGAACGAGGTCTGCAGGAGAAAGACATCTCTGCAGGTTTCAGGGCATCAGCTGCTGAGGTCCAGAGTTGGAGATGGTGGTTGACCAGGAGGAAGAGACCCAGAGTGTATATTCAATTCAGTTTATTTATATAGTGCCAATTCACAACACATATCATGTCAAGGCACTTTACAGTTCACCAGATCATCCAGCTGATTCAAAGCTAGGCTCCTCTACCAGAGGCCTGGGAGCTTAAGGGAAAATTCCGGTTTTTAACACTTTTAGCCCATTTTCTGTAGTGTCCAGGATGAAATCGAATGATCGACACCAAAATTTTGAC